TCTTACAAAAATTAAGCACATATATTAATATGCGTTACTATCATGGTTGTCAACTTAAGTTTTCTCAAATACAACGTATTTTTTTGCTTAAAATTGAAGTTTTAATTCCATTTTAATACCACTGGGAAAAATTATAATGGAAAGGATTAAAAGTTGGCAGGTATGGAAACGTCAAGATAAACCATCTAAAAAAATAGCAAAATTCGTCTAATATTTGCAAATTTAGTTTGTAGTTTTTTACCGTAGTCAGAAGGGCAAGTCATGTAAAATTAGCGTGGCGCTCAACGCATTAAACATCGAAAAAGCTCATTTAGTGCTATGTTGCACACTTGGACATCCTAAGCATGAACACGAGTTAATCCCTTTTTTTTTCTTCTTCAAACCCGTATTTCAAGCTATTTTCTTAAGCCAGTAGCTCCCAATTTTTCTCGGCTAAATGATCGAGGTTCTTTTGGCGAATCCTCCGGCATTCATTACAAAAAAAGTTAATTAGCAACTGTGAATATACTAACTATACTATAAATACTATAAATAGTACTTATTATTTTGAAACTATTTAATACGTAAAATGAAATATTTAATATTATGAATTTTTTCTTCGCGTTTGTATACGCTGAAAATGAATAAAATAATCTGAATTATATCATTTAAATAAAAGAAAACCGCTTTAAAAGACGAAAAAAGTATCAGAAAAACGTAATTATTATTATTGAGTTTTTCTTGAATTTAGTTATTTTATTTTAGATTGAAAATCACGATGAGAAACACTCATGAAATTTTCCTAAATGCATATTTATTTCAAAATATATTCAATATAATTTTTTTTGAAGAAAAAATATACATATTTGCTACTTTTTTTCATTCATATTTTACATAAAGAAGTTCATATAAACAAGCTAAATACTTAAAAAATTATGCAAAATTGATTGGATAAGAATACTATTATTATTCATCCTAATTATTGGAACCCCTGTCATCCTCCTATGGAACCCTCGGGCTCCCCTAAACATGTTGTGGGAACCGTTGCCTTCAACACACACTGAAAGATATACTCCTTTTTTTTTTCAAATGGACATTTTAAACTATGTCCATTTCCTTAAGCATTCATTTTAAGCTATGTACAAAATGAACAATAGGTTGTAAATAAAAAATCCTTACGCATTTCCAACTCCTTGGAATACCCATTTATTGGAGCCAATCCCCTCCCAGAGGGACATGGCGTAATAGGCACAAGCATTCAAGTGGATCAGGTACATCATGTACATCAAGGTACGAATTATCCTAAATGAAAAAGGTTTAGTTAAGGCATGCGAAAAGATTCGTCATAACACATTTTTATTTACCTTGTTTCCAAAATTATTATTTTTTAAATAAGAAATTTGTATAACATTACCAGTTCAAAAATTAAGCCATTATCATTCCTCATTTTTTGAATTGGGGGCATTTCGTCAATGTTTACCTGACACCCACCACACTCAGCTTTAATATATTCTCCAATTATAATTTCAAGAACTGCAATGATTGAACCTTTTGCTTACAAGAAGGGCATTGGGAAAAATAATAAGCCATAATTTTTTCAAAGGAATCCTTTTTTCCCTCTCCCATCTAAATGTTTCTTGGTATTGTTTCCAGATAAGATACTTTACACATTTTCAAATTTTTTTTACAAGCAATAGCACAATATAAAAATTTTTTTTACACCTCGCATGGGAGTCTTGGTGGTGTTTTCCTAAAAACCTTATGATAACGTTTTAATGGTCTTCTGAATAATTAGAATATTGTGCTCATCAGTATTGTTCACAGCTTTTAGAATTTCGATATTGGGAAAGACAGGATTTTAGACTGATTTAAATAATTATTGAAAGCCAATCTAGGAGCAATATTATAAAATACAGAAAACCTAATATTTATAGACAACCAATATCGTAAGCCTATAAGGATCCTATATAGAAATTTTGTCTTATTCGTTCAACATTCAAAGCCATTCTAGGACCAATATTGCAAAATGCAGACATCTTAACATCGGTTTATTGGAATTAAATACATCTGCAGGTTTCTGTGCTCAATTTAAACTTATAAACCTTTATCAATTACGAATACAGATAGTACAATATAGAAAGGACAGCACGAAGATGCATCCAGGGTAACGGCGGGATTCGAACCCGCTACTTCCGCGCCTTGCACAGCATTTGGCGGGCAATACCGCTCGGACGGGGAAGCCCCCATCTTAATATTGGCCTTATATTGTAAGCCTATAAAGGTTCCATATTGAAATTAATATTGGCCCAATATTTAAAGCCATTCTAGAACCAATGTTACAAAGTATAGAGACCCCAATATTGGCTTTATAGTGCAAGCCTATAAAATCCTATATTGAAATTGATATTGATCCAATTTTCAAAGTGATTCCAGAACCAATGTTAATAAATATAGACACTGAAATATTGGCCCTATACAATTTATTTAAAACTTTTCAAGTATTTGAAAATTTGATGCTTAAATGGCATGCATCTATAATGAAATTTCCAGAAATGCCAACTGCTCCGGATTCGACAAAATATTTTTAAAAACGGTAAAGAACTACGTACTAAAATTTACAGATTTTCGATTTATTTTGATACTTTTTTAAACGTCTTAACTGTAACAAAGTGGCACACGACACACGATTATGAGTTAGTTAGTATTAGTTAGACGATTATGAATTAGTAGAGAGTAAAAACCCTGTAAATCGAATTCATTAAACCAAGAAACATACATGAAAGACTACCACTCGAAAATATTCATCTTTTGTCAGGAGCAAGTTGGCATCTCTGAATTTCAAATAAATGATGTTCATTGGTTCATATGATAACTCGTTAGTAAATTAATTGAAAAGAAATTCGTATCAAAATATTGACGCAGACTTGATACATTATGTTATTTACAGCATTTCATTTGAGTATCTAGCAATTTAAGAATTGATTGTTTTAACGTATTTGCGATACGTATTTTTTCCTCACACAATCTCTTTTTTTTAAATTGAAAAAAAAAAATTCTTTTGTTTTATGTTAGAAAAATCCCTTTTATCATTCTTACCTTATCACATAAGGCGTCTTTGTAACAGCATCTACACGATTAAAAAATTCCCAAAAGGTTTGAACCTGAAAGATAATTAAGAGGTAAATATTGAGTAAAGAGATGAAGATAATTAGGTTAAAAAAATCAGTCATAAATAAAAATTTTTAATGCTATAAAAAGAGAACCTTGTTTGAAAAGTTAGTCAAATCCAGTTTTTTTCATTTTGAAAAACATATGTAGAATTCTATCTAATGAGTGTATTGTTTTTCCCTTCATGTCCGATTTGTGGTGCTCTTTGTATAGCAGAAGGTCTAATATATTCAGTTCTTTAGACCTAATATATATCTAATATGTTTAAGCATTTTCACGGTGTGAAATTTTTTTTAAACTGGAAGCTGAAGTGAAGAAAATATACATAGTTTAAAGAGCTCATACCCAACAAAAATATTTTGTTTTATTTTATCTACAGCATTGATCCAAATCGGATTGACTGCTATCAGTTTTAAACTAATCCCAGAAGACAAGAAAACTAAGCATTGGGACATGCTTGTCTTCATGCAGGACGTTTTAAGTAAAAATCTCACAGCTTTTGCGTTACAAAGAGAGCAACCTCTCAAGATCTGTCCATGGGATTATAACCTATGATTCGTTTACTATTGGACTACCAGATTAAATATAAAAATAAAATCAGATAGAGCAGGTATGGACTTGCATGAACGTAAAAGTGGGATTAATTTAATTTTTTTAAATTAAATGAAATTCATATTTCTACTAATCAAATAAGGTCTTCTAATTTATTTTATGCAATTATGCAATTTTTATTGCTATTTCATTAGTATAGTATTAAAAATACTAACCTTTAAAAGGCGAGGGAGACGAAATAAAGGATTTACTCCATAAATGAAATAACAAAGATCTAAAGGAAGCAACGCGAACAAATCCAACTAAAAATAAAACATACATTTTAATGCATCGTTTAGTTAAAGCATAATCTTTGATAAATTGAGCAGTTGTTTATGTTTAAATCATATGTCAATGCCAACTTGCTCCGGAGAGCAAATAAAGTGGTAGTTTATCAATTGTGATTCTTGATTTAATAAATTCAAATTAGTAGATTTTTATCCTCCACTATTTCCAAATAATTCATAGTCTTATATGATTCACCACTTTATAGTAGTCATGTCATGCCGTGTCTTTTAAAAAGCAAGCAAAAATAGTCAAATAATTGCAAAATTTAGTTTGCAGTTATTTACCGTTTTTTTTAATTATTTTGGCGTGTCCGGAGCAGTTGGCATCTCTGTGTCATACTTAAAAGTTATAGTATATCCTATCTATGTAACTCTTCAGGTTTATAAAAATTAATTTATATTTAATGGTTAAACCAAAATCTAATTACGTAAAATAACTAAAGACAAGTGAATGCTATGGAAGTAAACTTTGTATAGTTATTTATCAGAAAAAATAATATTTTTTTAAGTTAAATTGGTTTTGGATTTTTTTTACACAAGGGGGTTTAAAAAGTCAATATTAAATTTCGACTGATAGACATTTACAGAATTTCGGAAAACCCTCTATTACAACTATAGTATAAAAGTAAAACAATCCAAACGTATTCAACATTTTGAATAAAAAAAACAACTCCGAAAGAATGTTCAAGTGTTAGTTTTTCTTAAATTAGTAACTTTACAAGAAATAATTAAATATAAAAAAAAACCATGTAAAAGGTTTTTTAAAATTTTTCTAAAATTTTTTCCTTTATTTTAGAATTTATTATTTTATTTAGAAATTTCTCCTTTAAAAATAGTCTAATTTTGTAAATAGTATGTAATGTATGACCAGAATTAAACGATCTGCTTTATCATATCCTAGTTAACTTGAGGTGAACATAAACTTCGGTGAACATAACTATTTTCCAATGAGGTGAACATAAACTATTTTCCAATCTAGCGGCTTTTAACAACACTTTCTTCTGGTTAGCATTCTTTCAAATAAAGAAAGACATGATTTTTGACCTTTTCTTAGTTCAAATAAGTTCAAAATAGTTTAAAAATAAATTTTAAAAGAATTTTAAGCTTGCATTATTATTGCGACCAACTGCAGTCAAGGGAAAATCTGCAAAAAGAGACAGTGTCATTAAAGTTCGTTCAATTGTTAATTAGCACCCTGGTCTTAATCTTTTTTAAGTTTGGATTGTGTGTTATAAGTCCATGATACTTAGCTTTTCAATTAATCTTTTTTTTTTCTTCTCACAATTGTGGTGATTTTCACAATTGTGGTTATTTTTTTTCTCACAAAAATGGTCGATGAAAACAAGCGTCGTTTAAGGCAGTGGTTCGTAACCTTTTTAAGCCGCGACCCAAATTTGAGAAATACGCTCATGTCGCGACCCCCAAAAAAAGTCAAAATTAGGCTGAGTAAGCCACAATGACTTCTTCTAGGAGGTGTTGGTATTACTTATTATTTGGTGTATTACTAACTTTTTTGATTCGACTCAGCGCGGCCCAAGAAATATGCTTCGCGACCCAATTTTGGGTCGCGACCCATAGGTTAAGAACCGCTGGTTTAAGGGATAAAAAATGATGCAATTTTAGTTGTTTGAATATTTTTCGAAAATAAATGGGCCAGTTTTTATCCCAATAATGCTAAAAGAGTTAAAAAGACGCTAGGGATAATCGTTATATGAATGAAATCTACAATATTAAAAGAAATGTTTCTTGTTGCCTACAGGAAATAGAAAATTATTAAACCACTGTTCAGTTGACCATTAATAAAACAAAGCACAGCTGAAAGGTAAAATTTTATAACTATTATAATTTAAAATTAACTATTGATTTCAGTTACCAAGAAATTAAAAAAAATCTTACCTTAAATTCTCTTTTCTTAAAATAATTCTTTTTTGTTCGCTGATAATCTTCCTGCATAAAAATAATTGAGATAAATTTTACTTCATAATAAAATTTGGTTTTTACTATAATAACACGTAAATCAGTTATAAAAGTAATTTTAATGTAAAAATTACAAAAATTTTGCAATAAAACTCGAGTTGATTAATTGCAAAATTTAAAACATAAACAGATAATTAATAAAAGTATCAAAGTTAAAAAATAGCGCACATTCATATCAGAGAAGTGATTAGTTGATATTAAGAAAAGGAAATCAAAATTATTAGTTTGTTTTGTAGTAGTTATTTTCCAAGTATGAAGAAAAGAATAATGTACGAAGGAAGATCATTGAAATTCAAAAATAGAGCATATTTATATCAGGGAAGTTATATAGCTGATATGGAAATTAAACAACTTACATATGAAGAAGTTAATCAGCTGTCTCCAAATATTTTAGCTTAACCTTTTAGCTCACTGAAAATTCTTCAGAATTTTTTTTTTAGACTGGCATTAAATAAACACTCTTGCCACATTGTGTGTATTCCGGTTTCAATAATTGCATGTGGATAGAGTGTTTACCTCTGCCTGTTTAGAGAAAAAAAATTTGTTTCTGGTTAATGGTAGCAGTTAATGTTCATGAAAGGGTCTCACTGATTCTTTTACTAAGTCACTTAATTAGCCAGCAAAGTTTTTATAGGGGTCATAGAACGCCTCCTATAACTGAAAGCCTCCACACGGTTTTTTATAAGTAGTCCATTGTGAAGAATATCCACTTTACGAACGAGTCATTTAATACAAAATCTAGTTAAAATAAGAAAGTGGTAGCAAATATATGACTAAAAATTTATTTTATTTATGAATATTATTGATTTGCCTTATTCACTTGTCAACCACTACAGTTTCAATTCTCAAATATATATGATAAATTTCTCTCAATTACTTTTATAAAGGTTTTGGGTTCATGCGCACATCTGGTTCACTTTTTAAGCAGTCTGCGCAGAGTACTTATAAAAGACAGTGTGGAGGCCTTTTGATGTAAGAGGTGATGGGTCATCTCTCCATTTCCAGTTTTTGAAACGTAAGAAAAAGTTTTCGACGGTTTTTGGTCTATTTTAAGCATTTTGGCATTTTCCAAGGCATTTTGATCTGCTTGGCTGGCAAAGTATTTTGATTCCTTTCGCCCCTATCAAGCTTCTGTAACAACGAACTGTAATTTTTAAATGAGCTCTAATATTTGTTTCGAAATTAGCAAACGCAATGGTACGCGGTGAGTTCAAAACTACAAGGCTACGGAGTCGAACATTAGTAGTTGCAAACCCAAATATTGGGTCGGCTGTTCAACGACGGTTATAAATAAATAAAAAAAATATATAAAAACCTATGGCATAATTTTTTACAATTTAAAAGTTCAATTTCATGAGGCATATTAGCTATTGCTTTTCTTCTGATAATTATTATTTCACAAGATAGCGCATAATTACAGCATTTATTACAATTTAAATGTTTGTCGGAGTGATATGTTATTCCTCTGTATATTGAATTAACAGAATTAAATTACGGTCGTGTGTTATCAACAGGTCTATTTTCTTCTACAGATAACGTGAATGATGTCATTCTATGCGCATGTAATTACTGGACTAAAATAAAAGGCATGTATTATTAAAAGTAGTAGTCACTTTACTACGCAACTATGCTGTTGTATCAGGGTGATGTACGATGTTCCGCTTATATGTTTAAGCTCTATTGTAAGTAATTATTTTTAAGTTGTTGGATGTATAGAGATGGTACTGTATTTAATAAAAAAAGTATTTAAATCTACAAGTTTTATCATAAGACTATCCACATTCACTCACCATCCACTGCGCGTGCTCTGCCAACAATGCTCAACTTCATTATGCATATCAGCTTTTGTTTTATTCTGATTATTACTTCACAAGATATCACACATTAATATTACTTATCATAATTTAAAAGGCCGGGATAGCCTGGTCGGTAGGACACTGGGCCCATGTCCGAGAATCCGTGGGTTCGAATCCCGCAGATCGAAGACTCCCCGTGTAGTAAAGTGACTGATGCACGTTAAATCTGTCGAGTCGTAAAAGTTCCCATAACAAATCAAACCTCTGGGGGTACTGGATTGGAGATCGATCGTTCTCTGATTCAGGTCAAAATTACAATCTGTGGATGAATAAATGGATGTATGAATGGGTCCGTCCTATAAACGGGTGCGACGCATGGTGTGGCAGAAGTCGAATTCTTGGCCATAGATGGCGCTACTGGAAAACAAGAACAATCGCACCCCCTCTGCCGAAACAGGCGCACGTCAACAACAACAACAAACATCATAATTTAAAAGTTCAACTTCATTATGCATATCAGCTATTGAATTTCCCCGGATTATTATTTAACAACGTAGCGGATATTGATATTAAGTAGGTGACGATATTTAGTTAAAATTTAGCCCCAAATAAACTGTGGTGTGAAGGATATCTGGCAAGTCTGGTCAGCAATACGGCCAAGACACAGTTGAAAAACACCTGCTTCTCAAAATGACTTTTTGAAAGGGTATAACTTGAAAAATTATTTCTAATAACTAAAAATAATAAAATAAATGATGTGCTATTTACCACCCAAAATCCATCGTGAAGGAACTGCAGCCGTACTTTGAAGAGTGCGATGTCTAAGAGGTAGATGATGTCAGCAATATAGTCAAATGCAAGGAAAATAGGCTTGTTTTCTGCTGTTTGATAAGGAAACACCGAAAGTAAAATGATGGACCAGGCATTGTACGAATAACTCACCATGACAAGGAATAACCACGAAATGTACAATTTACCTACAAATATAAGGAATAGTAACAGTAATTAGAAAATAACATAATTAGTGAAATATTTGTGTTGCACTTTCTCCGATTACGAAAAATTTCGCCAAAGTTGACATACTTGCTGTCAACACAGCATCCACACGGTTTCTTATAGGTAGTCCTATCAGACCACTATGAAGGTAAACTAGTTTACAAAAGAGCCATTTAATAGAATATTTAGTAAAAATAAGAAAGTGATAGCAAATATACGACTAAAATTTTTTTTAAATTTATGAATACAATTGGTTTGTCTTATTTACTTGTCAACCACCGAAGATTCAATTCTCAAATATATATGCCAGCTTTCTCTCGATTACCTTTAAAATAGAATTTGGTTTCATGCGCACCACTGGTTCACTTTTAAAATTGTCTGCGCAGACAACTTATAAAAAACTGTGTGGAGGATTTTTGATGTAGGAGGTGATGCATCATGCATTTACAAATAGTATTTTTCTAAAAGGTGGGCCAACTATCTTATAATACTGCTAATTGCGTCTACGCATAATTGATTTCTTAGAGCCAAAATATCATTCTGAAACTTTTCACATCTGCTGTGCGCAAAAAGTTCAAGTAGATTTATGGGATAAGATCAGATACGGAAAATATCAGCCACTTTGAAAGTGGAAGTTTGATTATATGGGAAGTCGTATTAGATGATAGAATTAGTAACAGTGCCTTTAAAAAAATCACTGTTATTGGTATGTGTAACTTGACTCCTCTCCGCCCCAACAGGGAGCATACGGGAAATACTGAAGTCTCGAAATGGGAGTCTGTGTCCTATCAGTACAAGAAAACAAGTAGATTGTGATGAACAAAGGAGGCCTTCAAATGTAGCAGCCCTGAGAGTGTGTAAATATACAGAAGTAAAGATGTGCTGTTTACAGAGCTCCAAAGTACAACTAAGAGCCGCGATGGCTCAGGGGATCGCGCGTTAGCCTTCCAATGACGTGAACCGGGTTCAAATCCCAGCAATGGCTGGCCTGTACGAATTTCGCATCTGGCTTGCACCGAGCACAGTGCTGACGTGAAATATCCTTAGTGGTAGACAGATCATGGGTTAGAGTCTCCTTGCCGTCAGGTTAACCGCGGGAGGTTTCTCCTGGTCTACCTATCCCTGTAACGCAAATGCGGGTTGGTTCCATCAAAAAGTCTTCCATGGAAACAAATTTCTCCCAATACTTGATCCAGGAGTTCCCTTGTCTTCTGGATTGGTTTCAAAATTATAAGGCTATGGAGTTGTACATTAGTAGTCGTAAACCCAAATTTGGATCTGCTGTTCAACGACGGTTATAAAATACAAAAAAACTGCAACATAAGAATGTTCCCTAATATAAATTTACAGATGTTACATGCCCTATTTATAGGTATGTAACATTTAGTATGTATACAAAAACGTGATTCTTGAAAAATTGCATATTGGTTCGGCAAAACAATCTAATCTTTATGTCAAAAGTTGCTTAGATTACAGGGCTGCTAACTGTCTACGCTTTTGCCTACGGAAGTTAGTCTTCTCCCCCCTTGTATATTCTTTGCTATAAGGAAGATTCTGTTTAATTATAAAAGCACTGCACATTTAGAAAAATACTTCCTACTTGAACAAGCACTATTATTTTCGAAATTTTTTGATAGGAAAGGACTTACTTTGAGGATCAATGATGGTGGGAAAGACGGGAATGAATTTCTTTTTGATTGTGCAGCACAAAATTTTCATACTCAGACTGTGAAGGTCGGCAGATATTTTGTCATCCTCTATTAGAGATTGAAGCCTTAAACGAGGCTTGTTGATAGGCGTCATCTCATATTCACTGGAAGTTTCAGGTGGTGGAGCTGTAAATTGCATACAAATTTAACGTTTAATAACAGTACCCTTACAAAAATTTAAGATATTTTTGTGGTTTATTTAGGTTGTTTTGAGGTGTCATGGTTGATTTGAGGTTCATTCGAAATTGTTTTTAAACAAAGCCTAAAAAGATCCTCCTCCCAAGGTGTATAAAGTTATTTTATTCACACTTGAGGTTGTTTTCAGGTTGATGGAAACCTACTTTTGAGCAAACAGCTTTGGGAGGTTGTTTTTAAGGTGTACGGATTATTTTTTCTACACTTCAAGGGAATACGTATATATGAGGTGTTAATAAACTCACCCGATCTAAGCTAACTTTTTTCTGAGTTATATAAGAGGTTGATTTTGTGAAGGGTAAATGATGTTGAAATGGAGGTTTATTAAGGATGTTATTTTTGATGCAAAACATAACATAATTTTTTGCCTCAGGTGTATTTTTTTTTACATCTGTCAACCTCAAAAGCACCTTATTTTTTTAAGAGTAATTAAATTTCCCAATGTACCAATACAAATTAAATTAAATAATTCCTGTACACGAAATTTATGCTGCTGAGATATAAAACTTTTTATGTCGTGATAGTCCGAAATTATTTTAAGTTAAGTTTAGAACAACAAAAATCAAATTTTTTTAAACCGAAAGTTTCACTAATTCGAGACAAAATATGTACGCCAAAATACGTTTCGTCAAAAGAGGATTAGTTGCGTCGGGGTTAACTCATGTGAGAAAAATTCAGTATTATATTTAAAATTAGAATAAAAGCTTTGCTTTGATACTTCATTCTTGATTTAATAATTCTAAATTTTAATTGAAAATGATTTTGTGATTAATATTATATACATTAAGTATTAAGTTTTGGTAATCATTTGATTAATTTGTAAATGTGAATGAATTTTTAAAAAAAAAATGCTTAAAATTATTGCAGTTGTAATTTCACTTCCGTTATGAAAAATGTTTTTCAAAAACGTAAATTTTGATAAAAACTCTCAAATTTTTTTTTCTGAAATTAGATAAACAGAACTATTGTGCCACATAGGATTCCAAACCGTGTAAATATGCAGCACCATAGGGGTACCAAGAAATGTCCATGAATTCAAGTCAAATATTAATCATGTAATAATGACTTGTTGCTATTCAAAAGAAAAAAAAGTTTCAAAGTAAAGTTGATAAAGTTTGAATTTATGTGAAATATGAGAATCTTATCTTCAGTGAGAAATCTATTACGGTTGTAATTGCCTTTCCTACTTCTTGCAAAGCTATGTTTTCGGCATTTGCTGTTCCAGAAAGTAAATATATTTAAAAAGAAATGCTCAAATGCGAGTATCTGTATCAGTGATCTGTATCTGTAAACTCTTTTATCGCACTTAACAAATTCATAATGCTTTCTACAATGGACGGTCATTTCTTGATACTTATATTTTCTCTTAGATTATAAATTCTTAATAATGTGCAATATTATCATTACCTTCTTACTAATTACAATTAAAGTGCTTTAGCCGTGGTGGTTCAGGGGATGCAGCGCTCACCTCCCAATAAGGTGGCTCGGGTTCGAATTCCAGTTTTGGATGGTCAATTGTATTCCACACCCGGTTCGCACCGACCACAGTGCTGACGTAAAATATCCTCAGTAGTTGACGGATCATGGTTTAGAGGTAACTCAAACCTGAATAACTCAGCCCTAGATAATTGTTATGTTAAAGAGTTAAGTATGATTTATATTAGCTATGTTCGTATTCTCATTGCTTACTTTCGTAAATTCCCTAATTTTACACACTCGAAACATACTTGATGTTTGTATGAAGTATTAAACCGCTGACTTATGTGACCAAAGTGCCGTAAGATAATTTTAAATGCCGTTAGGTTGCTTAACTTGGAAAAGTTTTGGAGCCCCCGCTACCTAATATTGCCATGATTATTAAAAATATGCTATTGCTATTGTCTCAATATTGCCATGATTATTAAAAATAGTATTAAATCTATTACTTACATGGTGAAGGTGTTGGTGGCTGTACTAGTTTTTCTTTAGCCTTTTCTGTTCTGTAATGGAAGGATTGAACAATATCTTGGATTCTTTTGGTTATGAAAGTGTTGCGATCTGTTTCCAGCCTGATGCATAAAATAAAGAAACATGTTTATCATATTAGTAACAGTACAGGGCAATAATGATACTTTTGTTGAATAAAATAAACAAATTTGACTAAATTAAATGTTTATGTATTTTTTGTTGTTGATGAATTGCTATTAGGTTAACTATTTAATTTTCAACCCGAAAAAGTGGTTTCTCTGTATGTAGAAAACCTGTATGAAAAAAGTGGATATTTTCTCGCAATTTTCTTCTTTTCCAGATTTAACTACAAATAATTATGCAATTAACATTTTAAGGTAGACATAAATATCCTGTTTTTTTGCAAAACAAATTCTAATAATGAAATGCATGCACTACCACTTTTTATTTTTTCTAAAGAAAAAAAGATCTTTTTTAAAAAAAAACGTTAGACAGGAGTGTGTGTAAGCAAGAATTAAACCTTTGAAACAATATTCATATAAGTACAAACTATCGTTAAAAATCTTGTATGTTTTCCACCTATTGAAATTTATCACTCTAAAACTAAAAATTACCTTATTAAATAGTATCAACATTTGCTTACCTGACACGGCGAGGAATTTTATTTCTATATTTAAAATGGTAGTAAAATGTATTATTCTATTTATTACTTGCATTTATAGACTTAATTTATTATCTTTTGTACCACCACTATTTTTTAAAAAAAAATTAAGCATATATATTAATATGTTTTATTTAAGTTAGCCAATATGTTTCGTAGTCCGCTTTAGCTGCTACAAAATACAGTCAGGGGTGAAAGCGGAAAGGCTGGTAATAAAATTATTTCAGTTATTGCTAGTTTTCGGGAGGAGTTTACTTATTCTTTTTTAAAACTATTTAACAATTTCTACTGAATCTTGGAAACAAAGCAGTTTTTTTTTATATGTTGAAATTATAAATGAAATATTGATAGTTACAGATATTTTATTTTTCTCGAAAAAAATACTAGAATGAAATGTCTTTCGTACCAGTTTTTACTCTTTTCCGTCTTGCTATATAAGAGCTTTCAGCTATGAATGCAGCGTATGTTTCTGCTAAAATTCGTGATTTAAATTCCATTTTACTACCAGTTGGTAAAATCATCCTCGAAAGGATTAATAGTTGGCAGGTATGCATTTATTATGAATTTAAAAAATTATCTAAAAATTTTGAATAACGTAGCTTAAATGTTTTAATGTAATTATTATTTCAATCTGTATATTAAAGTACTGGTAGTATTGGAGAGTGTCATGTAGCAGAGATGCTGATTGCTCTGGATTCGGTAATATAGTTTGACAACCGGAAGAGGCTTACAAACTAAAATGTTATTATTTTCGGTTAATTGGGTAACTTTCTAAAAGGCTAAACATATCTAAGTGGCGTATTACGTAAGCCTTTGAATTAGTTAGAAGTAGTGGTGAGTAAAAATCCTTAAGTCGAACTTACTTAACCAAGAATCATACATTAAAAGAGCACTCAAAAATATTGATCTGTCCGGAGCAAGTTGGTATCTCTGATACAGTCGTAACTTAGCTAAATTTTAAAAAAAAGTTTCTTTTCTTACTTTACCACGTTGTATGTACTTAGTACAAAATTTATACTTACCACTGTTGTTCCTCAGGTAGGGATAATGTTTGTACTGTCTGCTGATTGATTTCATCAGTGGACATGTTGAGGCTTAAATTATGAGCGTTGGAGTGGCCAGCTGCGTTCAAGGAAGGGACAGAATTTTTCAGTATGCCTTCGGTCAGGACTGAAAGAATAAGAAATAAAATATTAATGGGAAAAATTTGTAATCTAAGGCAAGTAAATATATTAAAAATAACTCTGAAGACAACTTTTTTTTGTTTTCTTGCTAAGTGAGATTTTTGAACGGATCGTAGATATTTCAAATCCGCAATCAGTTTCTCTCTACAGTCAGTTTCTCTCTACAAGTAACAGTTTTTATGCAATTCCAGAATTTTTAGAATGCCACTGAGTGAAGACGAAGTGTCCCATTTCTCTGCTACGTAAGGAGTGGTAGGAAGTAGTCAATAAAACATTTCAATTTATGATGAGATACGTTAAAGTTATATTAATGTTTATAGTTATATTATTCTTAAATGTTGTTTTTCAACAGAGCAGACTTGAGTATATGTATATAAACCTATACAATTTTTATAAGTTTGTATATTCAGATAAAAAATAAACTAAAGTAAGAATATAATTTTTAACTAATTTCATATTTGAAATCCCAACAGCCAAATTACATTAGATCAAGTATTTGCATAAATGCAACAAAAAATTATTTACCCGAAGTAATTAGTGTATGACTTATCACCGACTATTCTCAGATAATGTGTATTTACTATGCTTATAGATGGTAATTTATTTGTGTTATGTGTGTCATGGATTGATTTGTAGATTCAACAACTGTTGTACTTCCTGCATAGTATTTCATAAAGTGGTAAAGTTCAAATTTTCGCAATTCTGTTTAATTCTGTAACTCTTTGAAATCCTCACCATGAGATAATATAAAAATAGTTACAATTTATTTATATGTTTAGATTATTCATAAATAGTGGCGGGCAAATTCAAGTAACTCTAAGTTCACTACTGCAAAAATCTAATTTTAAAACACAAAGTTTGTTATCAATGCAAAAAAATTGCCTCGCAAAACGGAGCAAGCGAAATAATCTTAAGCCCTTTCATAGCCCAAATAGTTCATTGCGGGTACGAATTTTTTTTGAAATGGTTGATAAAGTAGTGCATTATCTCTTTCCAATCAAAAATACTAAATTTCCTCTTCACAAAATAGTGCTTAAACGATTTTGCGGCGTAACTACCACTACAAATATCAAATAACTAGTATATAAGACATGTTAACTCGATTGAGGTATCATACCTGCCAACTTTTACTCTATCCGAGAATGGATTTTCAGAGTGGTTGTAATACAATATACGTAAAACAATCTGACTCAAAAATATATTTATAATTTGATCCCGTTGAAATTCACTTGCGCAAGGATCATTATGCTTTTATATATTTATTGTATTTATTTATATGTAGTGGTGGTCAAACTCATTTATAATTACCATTATAATTCGAAAAGTTAATTGGAATAACCTGAGTATTGCTACCACTTTAAATATTAAAATAAAATCTTCCGGAAAATCCGGAAGAGTTGGCAGGTATGCTATTTCATTCTCTTGCAACTATGTCTGGTCGTGGCGAAGGAAGTAAAGTTTAGATTTGACCATTTCTTTTTGACTACTGCAAAAATGTTATCTCGACGCTGCGGACTTGGAGGCAAGATTATTCACACGCCCATCAGGAGAATTGAAATACCTGTGATATATCCCAACTACATAAAGCCAGACGCTAAGCCAGGTGAAATTTTTGAAGATGAATATGGACGCTTTCATTGTTATTCCAAAAAAGGAAGCTTTTGCACGCTAAGCGATTTCATAGTGCCCGAAGGAGCTGCAAGACCTTATTATTCGGCCAACTCTATTCCAATTTCCTGAACAAATCACGCCTGAAATGCGGACTTCATCAACTAACGACCCAATTATGGAAATCAATGACGGAGACCAGAATATGGAACAGAGTAAAGAAATGTCGACTTCTGACTCGGAAAGTGTCAACAGAAACAGCACAGAACCTCCTGCAAGGAAAAGGAAAAAGAAGAAGAAAAAGCTAGCTGATGTCAAAAAATCTGAAGATAATCACACATCCACAATTATAAACAGATGCTCTATCTCACCGCTAGAGACCGCCACTATCTTAGCACTATCAGAAACCAAAGAGGATTCCAACAAAGATCCATCTATGGAGGATTCCAACAAAGTTCCAGATCCTCCCACAAGACCAGAGAAAAAGCAGAATATTCAGTTTACAAAAGTTTTAATCCGTGGACTACCTGTTGACTTCAAGACAGAGGATATTTCCCTTGAATTAGGGAAATTGGACATAAAAACCCACAATGTAATCCAGTTTAAGAGAAGAAGTGGGGGGGGGGGGCNGGGGGGGGGGGGCTATAGGCTCCTTCCACTTTTTCTCACAATTTTTAGAGAAACGGAAGATCACCTGAAAGTATTCACCACCACAGATCTACAGCGGATTCCGGTCCAAGTAGAACGTTTTCGTGGCGGTCGTGGACCGCTGCAGTGTTTTAATTTCCAGGATTACGGTCATGCTCAACGGATACGAGTATGCAATGCACCTCCCAGATGCGTGAAATGCGCGGACAATCACCGATCCTTCGAGTGTCGTAAAGATCGACTCACACTTCCAAAGTGCTGCAACTGTGGCAAAATTCCCACCGCAAACTACACGGGATGCGAAGTCCGCCCCAGCAGGAAGGGCCCTCGTGCTGTAGCTTCTACACCAGCTAAATTAGCACACAGACTCATACCACTTGTGAAAGAGCTCCAAGACCTTCTAAAAAATGAAGTGCTTCGCCTTTTATAGAGGAGCCTAGGGGTGACCTCTCTTGCTCAGTGAGGATTTTATTCTCAATTCAGGACTTATTCTTCAGGACTTATTCAGGACCCGGCCATATCAACATTGAACTCTAGATTTAGGACTTTTAATATATGTCATAATTAAACATGTGTCTGTTAAACATAGAAATTTAATTAGTGAAATATGCATCAATTTATATTAATATTTATTTATGTCAACTTATGTATATATTTTTCAAATTATGGTTATATTTGTAATACGTGTCAATTTAGATTTGGATATTCAAATGTTATATATATTCAAGCAAAGTGCTTGTATTTTTGTATTAGCTACCACATCGACTGCTAAATTCCAAATGTTATTTCTTCAAATTTTCTGTAAATTTCTAGACGTATGGGATAGGGGCCGCTACGCAGCCCAGGTGCCCAATTTTTTTAAATAAAGTAAAGTAAAAGAGGTATGGATGAAGGTTAACATAGTCGACTAAAATTAAATTCCCTTAATGGTGACCTGGACGTGAAATGAACTTACCAACATTGATGGATGATCCACAATAAAATAGTTGAATTTGCTTAAAAATATACTGCTCAAAAGAGGTAAAAAAATCCTGTGAAGTAAATAAAAGTCTCCCGGCCAATAAAGAAAAGTGAAGAAAAAAAATGAGCGAAATAATATATGTAAACAAAAATGAAGGGAGAAAAATTAATGAGCAAAAATGATATAAATAAACAGCATAATTAGCTAGTAATATTCGTTCATAAAATTCTGAAAGAGGTGTCGCAACTACCACTACAAATATTAAATATCAAATTACTAGTATATAAGATATGTTAAGTCGTATAATCTCACGAAATACACTCCCGATTTTTGGTGCTAAGCACTAGTGATGTGCCAATCGATTCATTTAAATGAATCGATTCTTTAGAATCAATTCACTAAAATGAACGGTTATATGAATCGATTCTTTGATTCTTTTTTTAATGGTCGTTATAATGGAAGNTCTAATATTGCCATGATTATTAAAAATATGTTATTGCTATTGTCTCAATATTGCCATGATTATTAAAAATAGTATTAAATCTATTACTTACATGGTGAAGGTGTTGGTGGCTGTACTAGTTTTTCTTTAGCCTTTTCTGTTCTGTAATGGAAGGATTGAACAATATCTTGGATTCTTTTGGTTATGAAAGTGTTGCGATCTGTTTCCAGCCTGATGCATAAAATAAAGATACATGTTTATCATATTAGTAACAGTACAGAGCAATAATGATACTTTTGTTGAATAGAAGACACAAATTTGACTAAATTAAATATTTATGTATTTTTTGTTGTTGATGAATTGCTATTATGTTAACTATTTAATTTTCATCCGGAAAAAGTGGTTTCTCTGTATGTGGAAAACCTGTATGAAAAAAGTGGATATTTTCTCGCAATTTTCTTCTTTTCCAGATCTAATTATAAATAATTCTGCAATTAATATTTTAAAGTAGACATAAATATCTTGCTCCTCGCAAAAAAAAATTCTAATAATGAAATGCATGCACTTCCACTTTTTATTTTTTCTAAAGATTTTGTTTTAAAAAAATGTTAGACAGAAGTGTGTAAGCAAGAATTAAACCTTTGTAACAATGATAATATAAGTAAAAACTATCTTTAAAAATTTTGTATGTTTTCCACTTAATCCGTTTACACACCACTACGTTTATACTCCTCTCTAAAACTAAAAATTACCTTATTAACCCTTTAAAGGGCCATTTATTTCTAGTAAAGATAAAATAAAGTATTCTTGGAATTGAAATTGTTTTAAGAATAGTAATTGATATAAGAAAAAAAAAACTCATTTAATTTCGAAATGCCATTTTTTGGGTGGTAAATATATTTGACACGACCTATTAGGAACTTATGGACTTTTATTTTTCTTTATTTATAAAGGAAATTTTATAAATGCTACGAACTTCAAAAGGAATTATGTATCTTATAGCTTTTATACGTTTTTTTAAACTAACAAATGGTTACCAATTTTATTCAAACGCAATTCAAGAAAGCTGAAGTTATTAACAAATGGAAACCTAAATTAAAAGTGGTTAAAAAGTTGTGGGAAGTAAACTTCCCACGGCCTTCAAAAAGGTTAAATTAGTATCAACATTTGCTTATCTGCCATGGCGTAAAATTTTATTTCGATATTTAAAGTGGTAGTAAAATATATGCTTTCTATGTATTCCTTCCATTTATTCACTTAATTTATAATCTTTTTCACTACCACTATTTAGGAAAAAAATTAAATTTATATTGTAATATGCAAAAAC